TTTGTCTGTCTGTCTGTCTCCAGCCCTGGGCTGGGCGGGGCGGCGGCCCCGGGCGGGCCCAGGATACCAACGTGCTTTATTTGCCGAAGGCCCCCCTATTTATTTTCGCGCCGCTTCCCCCTGGCGGCCCCGGCGCCGCGCGGCTGGCGTGATGGATGGCCGCGGCGCCCCCTCCGCGGTGTCCATCACCCTCCCCCCGCCTGCCCGGCGGAGCGCCGAGTCTGATAAGCTCCTGGCACTCGCCCCACGACCGGCGCCGCGTTGCGTGAGGGGTGCCGTTTGACCGCAGCACCTCCGGATGCGCCGCCCGGCGCACGGCAGCGTCTACGGACAACAAACCTACTATAGACGCACGCTTACCCGCCGCACTTATCAGCCTCACCCTGTCTGCTCGGGGTGGGCCTGGCGCGGCGCTCTGCGTGCTCACCGCGGGTGCGCCTGGCCATTCGGCCAGCCTATGCCGACCCCCTCCTCCTCTCGCTCGTGGCGCTCCCCCATGGACTCGTCCCTCAATGTATGCGGCCCGCCAACGGCCGTGCTCGGATCCACCCCACTTCCCCTGCGGTGCGTCGGGGCTGCGGGGCTGTTGTGCCCCGGGGGCGCGGCGCGGCGGGGCGTGTTGGGGTGGCTTTGGAAACGCGCCCCACACGGCCGCGGGTCGTGCGCGAGGGGGCGAGTCAGCCGCCGGGCCCAAGCGCACCGCTGCAGTGATGGAATGCATTTTGGCACGCAGGGGCGCGCGGCGCGGCGGGGGGAGCGGTCGCAGTCGCGATGGAGCTGTCTGCCCCCGCGCCCTGCGCCCCGCGGTGACGGTGTTGATGGTGGCGGTAACGGCGCCGGCCCCACCGCGCGGGGTGGATCGGGGCATGGAATGGACGCCCACTGCACTGCTGCCGCTGCTGCTGCTGCTGCTTAAACTCGGCCAATAAAAACGCTATCGCAGTCGGGCTAAACGCCGCTGGGCCTGGGCCTGGCCTGGCCGAGCCGAGCCGAGCCTACTCTCAAATATAGACCGGCATGCAGGCGCGCCAACTTGCGGCCAGTCAGTGACCCCGCGGTGGCGCCGCCCCGCGCCCCGCGCGCCAAGGCGCTTATCTATCGTGACCCCATTCGCCCGCACCCCCGCGCCCCCGCGTCAGAACGACGGCCGGGCAGCGCAGCTTGCACCAGGTCGGCCTTCACGACTGTGTACCTAGCCAGCGGCACCGCGACGTGTCCCCGCGACCCGCACCTCATGTATCGCGGCCGGCGCCGGGCCCTTGCACGACTTTCGTTACGCCCTGATCGATGTAGTACGTGGCGTATAAAAACACCCCCCCCCCTCCTCCCTCCCTGTGTCTGGCAACGGTCCTGCCAGTAACAGCAGCAGTCGAGGGCCCGACAACCCGGGGAAGGGGGGTGGGGGCGAGGGGCGTAAAACTAGCCAGCCAATGACCCCGAGCGGGGCGGTGGCGCGGGGCCGATGTAGTATGTGGGGGCCCGGGCCCGGCCAGCAGCCCCAGGAGGCTGGACACAGGTGGCGCCGCCGCTGCAGTGCCGCTGCGGTGCTCGAGCAGCCCCGCGGGGCCCGGCCCCTCCCCCGCCCCGCGAGCCTCTGCCAGTTGAGCCGCGCGAGATCATCCTGTTATTGCCCGCTGGCGCGCCCGCAACTCCACCCAGAGCAGCAAGCAAGCCCCGACCCGGACAGACACAGACCACCGGCCCTTACCGCCGGCCCCGGTGGTACTCGGCCCACTCGGCCCCCTTTCGCATTGTTCCGCGACAATGGGTGGCGCCTGCGGGGCACTCCTGTGCTCCTGTGGGGCGGGGGTGCTCGGGAGCTCACGCCGCCCATCCCCGAGAGCTCCCTATTGATCACTCTCGGCTCAGCGTCCTTCTGCCACGCACCTCTGCGGCTCACCGGCTTCCGGCCCATTAATTCCCTCCCCTCAAGTTTATTCCCGGCGGGGCAGACGACCTCTGGGCCGGACGGTTCTGGCTGGACAGCTGACGGGACTGCGCCCTTCGCGGACGGCGACCAGCGACGACGCATGTAGTTTTCGTATTGTGCAGGTACTGTAGTTTTCTGGCCTCGCTATAGCGTCGATGGTAGTCAGCACGAGCTGGTCGTGGCCCCCGGGACGGGAGAGGGGGGGGGGGGTATGGGTGCACGGCGGTCTATATCGACGGGCCTGATCTCCGCGCCAACGCAGCCGCGGCCTGCTTAGCCAGGCATGGCGGGTGGCGCCCAGCGCCGGTGTAGTGACATGACTGGAATTAGTTTTCCTGCGGGGCCGGGTGGGGCCGGGCGGCGGAGCGGGGCCGCGGGCGACCAATTCCGTCCCTGCCGCCCCGCCCCCGCCTCCGCCCTCGCTCCCTTGCGCCCTCGCGGCCCCTGCGACGGCTGCTCTGTGCCAGATCGTTGATCAGCCCCGCGGTGCCAGTCTCCGCGGAGCAGCTTATCGACCACCCCCGCCCGACAACCTGGTCCGCCCTGCCCTGCGCCCCTCCCGCTTGCTTCCGCCCGCTGTCGCAAGCGTGTGCAAGCCGTGCAAGCGGAGCGCGTCTCCGAGGTGTGCCGCGCGCCCGCCCAAGGGGAGGTAGGCAGCCCGCCGCGCACCCGAGCGCCGGGGTGGCCAGCGCGGCACTCCCCGGCGCGCTGGCGGGGGGCGGTCAGGTCAGGAGGGTCTGCTGCGTCTGCCTACGGGATAAAAGTGTGAAACCACGAGTACACTCGTTCAAAGAGGTCTGGGGAGGCTCAGGGATTACTGTCGAGAGGGAGCAGACTGCCGAGACAGAGGCAGGCCGCTATGTTGTTGCTGCGTGTGTCGGCGATACGTCCTCCACGTCCCCCCGCGGGGCCTCGGCGCCACCTCGCTCTTTGCGGCGGCCCCCGCTCGGCCCCGCCGCCAACAACTTGGGGCATTAGAATCTATGAGCGCGCTGTGGCGGGGCGGGGCGGGGCGGAAGGCCTAGTTAAGACTTGTCCAGCGCGCCGTGTCAGCAAGTAGTCTCCGCGGGCGGCGGCAGCTGCAGCAGCGGCGGGGGGCCGGGGGGCCGGGCGGCCGGATGCTGTCGCTTATTTCAATCTTGCGAAAAGCTCCAAGAGCCTTAGTCGGCCTGGAGCCTGGAGCACGAAAACTGCGGGGAGAGATAAGGAAAAGTAAAGGCGGATAGAAAAGGGGAGGGGAGTGGGGTGGTCGCGAGAGTGCTAATGGGTCTGCACCGGAGGTGCCTGGCAGGGGGTCCCGGGCCACGCATACCGCCCGTTTCCCTTGTGGCCTGCTGATGGTGAATGGGGGGAGGGGGGTAATTTGCGCGTATAAACGCAACTGCGTGGTTCTCTGCGCCCTCGTGATCCTGTCCAGAGAAGGGCGATTCACATAGTCGGTAGTTAATCTGCAGAAATCAAATTCAGAGATTTCAGAAGTGTGTTTACTGTCGTAATGATGTAACAACACCAAAAATTAAACCACGGAAAAAACAAAAAGTAATTAAAGAGAACCAATTCCATTGCTTTGATTTCATGTAATTTAACGAAAACCCCGGTGGAGCACGATTCCTTTGTCCAACGGTTTCCTCAGTGCGGCGATCGTGGGGGAACAACCCTATTCGCTATTCACCTCGCACTCCCCTTTCCCCTTGGCCGGCGACCGGCAGCGGTCCTTGAACTACACAGCGGTGCACTACTACAAACCGGGAGAGAAAGGGAGAGGGGGGGAAAGGGAAGAGGGGAGCAGAGAAATCCATCCCATCAGACCTTCAGACCTCCGGACTTATCAGGAGGAGGATCGTATCGGAAATGGAAAGCCGTCTTACTCGTCGCGGCGGCCCCCGAAGGCAGCCGGAGCCGCTATGGTGGTGGGCGCGGAGGTGTGTGGTGGAGGTCCGCGTAGGTGCTCGCTCGACTACGACCGGCGCGGACAAACCCTCCCACACGCGTTTGTCTGTCTGTCTGTCTCCAGCCCTGGGCTGGGCGGGGCGGCGGCCCCGGGCGGGCCCAGGATACCAACGTGCTTTATTTGCCGAAGGCCCCCTATTTATTTTCGCGCCGCATCCCCCCGGCGGCCCTGGCGCCGCGCGGCGCGGCTGGCGTGATGGATGGCCGCGGCGCCTCCTGACTCGCGGCGGCCGGGCCGGCGGCGGCGCCCCCTCCGCGGTGTCCATCACCCTCATCCCAATTGATTTAAATTTATCTCCCCCTCCCGCTCGCTGCTCGCGCGCGCGTGTGTCGTGTGCGTGCGAGAGGGAACGAACAACGGGCGCCGACACGCGCTTTGGGGGAGTAGAGGAGAAGGAGGGGGACCACGCGCGATCGTTTACGCCGATCCGCGCCGAACACGGGGGCTCGTGTCGTATAAGGTAACTACTTACTCCCGCCCCTGCCCGTCCGCGTGAGCACCTCTTTGGCCACGCTCCCGCTGCTCCCCTGCCGAGGACCTCGAGGTCCTTAACGGCCGTCTGTCGGAGGAAATAACCCCGCCGAGCGGCAAGGAGGAAAGACGAATTAACTCTGTGTTGATGGAAGAGCGGCGCGGTCCCGGGCGGACCCCGCCCATCCCCGCACCGCACCGCCCCGAGGGAAGGGGGGAATTCGCGGAAAAGTGTCCCGGGGAACGTGGTGATGGGGCGTGGACTCCAGACTGTCTGTGTAGTCTGAACTCTGGAGCCCTCTCCGCCATCTGCCGTTTATGCGATTACGCCATCTTCCCTTTGCGTGTTGCGTGTCGCGCCGCGGACACGCTTGGGATGCGCTTCGGACGCGCGCTTGTGCACGCCTCGGCCACGCCCACGGGCCGGCCCCCGATTCCATCCGTCCGTCTGGACGACAGCGGCGGACACCGCGGCCCTCGCTACTCCCTCTCCCCGACACACCCTTTGCCTCTCCACCAATCTCCGTCACAATTTGCGCCACTTTCATAGAGGTCTATTGGTGTTCGCGTGGGTGCGTGCTCGTGTGGTGATGGCGTGAGGAGGGAGGGGAGAGCAGCGCGCGACCTTTCCTCGCGCCACACTGACGGGATGCGATGCGCCCGCCCCGCGCGGGGGGTTTCCCCGTGGTGCATAAAGGGTGCCGCCTCGCCTCGACCAAGTCCCCACCCCCCGGGGCCAAGAGCTGCAGGTGACGTGTCAACCCCGCGGCGCAGCGGTACAGCTACTGCGACTCGCAAATTTAACCGAAAAAGACTGCACGAGTGCGCGAAGCAGTATTACTGAATTGTGAAAGAGTTGCACAGGGTTATGGTGGGCTGAAATCCTATGGCGGTTGGCCGGTTGGCGGTGCTTCCGCGCACCTTGTGCACGTGACCGCGACCCTCCCGCCTCCCGCCCGCCCCCGGGGGGCCCCGCCTCGCAACACATGAGTGGTCACTCGCGAAGGCCCTTTGAGCACCACCGAGCTGTGTGTCCAGCGAGGGGCGGGCCCGTGCAGGTCCGCTCTGTCTGTCCGTCCCTCCGCTCCCCCGGAGTTATTACGAGTCGCTGGCGCTGGCCTTGGAGCCCAGGAGGAACGTCAGTCGCGTTCGCCTCAACCCAACCCGCGGGAGCCCATATAGCGTATTGGATTGGCCCGGCTTGCTATTGCAGAACAACCCCCAAGTTCCCCCGAGCGCGCTAACCGAGCTCGAACCTCCCTCCTTGGTGGCCCCATGCCGTCACCGACACCATCACCGACTTGGAGTTTGGGCGCAGAAGCTGCTCCTCGGGGATTTATGCAGCCGCCACAGTGAGCGTTGTTGCTTCAAATAACACGGATGAGGAGTCAAGGGAAGGACTTGGAGATGTCGCCTGCTGCCATTGTTGTTGTGCACTTGTTCGAAAAAGTGAAAGTCGAGAGTGGAAGAGGCTTGGGCCTCTAAAGACCCTCTGGGTGGCGTATGGCGCTGATGTTCATCCCTCCCTCCCTCCCTC